TATACTTGAAATATTGCCATTAAACATCTAGTTACGTATTTATATGTGTTAGGTTACTGGTTGCTAACGTATGCTAGTAATGCAAGGTTTATTTAGCATTACTATTTCAAACAGCATTGATAAAATTCCCCGAAATATAAATATTACTTATCCATACTCACGGGGATTTGGTGTGCCACGCATCCACACCCACTGCAGATTAATTTAGTATGCCACGCATCCACACCCACTGCAGATTAATTTAGTATGCCACGCATCCACACCCACTGGAGATTAATTTAGTATGCCACGCATCCACACCCACTGGAGATTAATTTAGTATACCACACATCCACACCCACTGGAGATTATTTTAGTATACCACACATCCACACCCACTGGAGATTAATTTAGTATACCACGCATGCACACCCACTGATGATTAATTTAGTATACCACGCATGCACACCCACTGATGATTAATTTACTACACCACACATCCACACCCACTGGAGATTAATTTAGTATACCACGCATGCACACCCACTGATGATTAATTTACTACACCACACATCCACACCCACTGGTGATTAATTTAGTATACCATGCATCCACACCCATTGGAGAGTAAATTAGTATGCCACGAATCCACACCCACTGGTGATTAATTTAGTATACGATGCATCCAATCCCACTGGAGGGTAAATTAGTATGCCACGCTTCCACACCCACCGGAAATTAATTTAGTATACCAATCGTCCACACCCACTGAGGGATTAATTTGGTATGCTGCGCAGCCACCCACAAGAGAATTAATTGTTGATAATTATGATTTTATGTATTAAAGTTTACAAATCACTAAAAAGTATCAAATAAATAAATTTTAAAAAACAAACTTAGGTGAAGGACGCACTTAAAATATTAAAACAAGTAGCATTAAAAATATCATAATATCGTTTGATATTTACTAACTTTTACTTCACCGTAGGCCCAACTATTTTGTTTTCACAGCAATGATAATTAACATTAAACGCAACTAAAACAAAGACTTGAACAATCAATAAAAACAAAAAGTACATCTCCGTAATGGGGAGTTATTAAAATATGCCAGAACCTGAGCAGATTTCCTCTATAAGACGTCCCATGTAGCGTGATACTATTTACTGAAAGCTAATAATTTAAATCTTTCAAGTTTATTATACAATAATTATGCATTTCATGCAATTTTTCAAAATGGCTCAAAGTCAGAGTTGAGTCGGTTATCCGAATTTTGGATAAAGTATCCATCCAAACGGAATCCGAATCATTCAGATTGGGATATTTTTCAACCGAAAAATTCGGATTCGATTCGGATGGATATTTTATCAGCCGAAAAATCCGGGTTCGATTCTGATGGATCCGAAGAAATGTCCAACCGACTCAATTCTGCTGAAGATATAACTTTTAAGTACAACTTTTAAGTATAACTTTTATTTACAACTTTTAAGTATACCTTTATTAGTTGGGCCCACGGTGAAGTAAAAGTTAATAAATAGCAAACGATATTATGATATTTTTAATGCTACTTGTTTTAATATTTTAAGCGCGTCCTTCACCTAAGTTTGTTTTTTAAAATTTTTTTATCTTCCCATGACTTTTCTCGAATTGATAGCCACGCATGGAATAAGCCTGATGCCTAGAAATGGTTGGAAATTTTAGGCATAGGACTTTCTACTTGAAGGAATTAGAATTCTAGAAAAACAAGCAAATGACCCCGTAAAACAGAATTATATGAACTAAATATTTAAATAATACTTTGTGAACACAGAACATAACGTGGGTGCATTTGCCATCGCGGAATTTGTGGATAATTCCTTAACCGCCACCGCTAATAACAAGGAGAGGAGAAAAATACAAATCGAGTTCCACAACAATGGATCAAATTCATATTTGGCCGTGTTAGACAACGGGTGCGGGATGAATTCGGAGATGCTGCAAACTGGCTTAAAATTCAAAGCACCAAAAGATTCACGTCCCAACGACGTGTCAGACTTACCCACCCAATCAGTAAACCCGGGAAGTGACGAGGAAGCCGCAAGGGAGGAAATTCATCCTATTTTCCTTAACTCAAACATTAGCAAATTTGGAGCAGGATTAAAACAAGCCGTTTTCTGGTTGGGAGATGATGCCAAAATTATAACAAAGAGGGCAGAAAGTAGAACGGTGTACGAAGTTCATTACTCACGGGAAAATATGGAAGCTAAAGAATCAGCCAAGAGTGAAGATGCCTGGAATGTTGCTATTAAGATGCGTGACGTGTCGGAATTAAAAGGCGTACAGGTCCCTCCATTGCTGAAAGCCTTAATCGAAGCGAGGGAAACATCAGAGCCAAGCTTTACATATATTATGATCCAAAACTTGATAAAAGGTGATGCTACCTCTCCCCTCCAATTTCTCCAGCAACAGGATAGTAGTCTCGATGTCAAGCCCAGCATTGAAAAACAATTGGCTCACATTTACCACTATTATCTCCATGGTCGAGACGGAAATACTGGAAAAGAATCAATGAATGGCACTATGGTCGATATAGAAGTTACTCGATTTGATTCAACCGGGAAAAAAGTGTCATCAATTAATTTACGCGAATTGGTTGAAGCAAATTTGGACTTGGAATCAAGATTTGTTCGGACAGCGGCGTCAGATCCGTTCCGTTTCACAATTGAAGTTTTAAAATCCCAACGAGTTAACGGACCCATGATTCCAAAGTTGAGACTTGGAGGCATAATTCGGTACCATCCCTATGAATATTACCACGAAACTTATCCAGTCAATAAGGTGGCAAATATTTCCGGTAGTCTTGACCCACGTGACGTCAACTCTGATCAAACCCTTCAACCAATGGAAGACAAAAATTATCGGATAGATAATAAAGATTTTTTTCATCTATGGTGGAACGGAAGATTAATTCCTTGCACGAAATTGGATGCGTTTCCATGGTGTAGCCCTTCAGAGAGGGGTAAAAATCCTGACAAGTTGTACAAGTCTTACGGGCGCATATCAGGCTCGCTTTTTCTTGACGGTCACATTTGTGAAATTACCGACAACAAATTAAATCTTACAACAACGACGAAAATATCTGAAATAATTGATAAAAAGATTCATTCAGTTCAGTCGACCTTTAAACTGGTTAAATCCCACGGAAACACTCTTAAAGCAAAACGTGTGGGAAATGATGTTAGAAAAGCTTTTGAAGCTTGGTTAACAACGTGTCAAAAATATGACAAGGAGGTCTGCTACACAAACGTGTTACGTGGTGGGTAAAAAGTTCACTAAATGATTGAATATGTTTAGTATAATAAAAACAAAATTAGAGGAATCAATTAAACCTAATCTGAATTTCAGATTCACAGAAGGGTCCCATTATAAGGAAAGTTCGTTTTCAAACTTACTTTGAATATGGCGCAGCAGAGTGGAAAGAGTCCGGGATAAAATTACAAGTTGGTGACGCTGTTCAACTGAAAACCAGTTCGATTATCTTAGGGAAAATTAAATCTTTCTACGTCCAGTTTGAAAATTGTTTGCTTGAAGATGAATATGTGGCAAATTCAAGCACCCGGCCGCTTCCTGAAGTTCATGCACCTGTTTCCTATTTTGATATTGAACACTGTCCTGCTCCTTATTACGCGAGGGATGGCGAGGAAATCCCGATTCGTCGCAAGAGGATGAGTCAAATAGATACAACGCGGCTACAAGTTAGTGTAGAAGAGCTAATCGCGAGGCAGGCGGACGAGCTAAATTTAAAATTCGAAATAATCAAAGGACCTATCCCCGAGTTTGGTAATGGGTTTAAAATTAAGAGCGACGGCATTCTGTTCAAATCCCTTGGACTTGACATTGTCAAAGTAAATGGGGAAGGATCCGTCGAAGGCTACCTTCCGTTTTGCCAGCCAAGGAAAAAACATATATTTGTGGTTACACAAATCCATAAAATTGGTTAGTTTTTTGTCTTACATTGAGGCTATTCGCTCATACCTTCGTAAGCATGTTAACAGCGTAAAATATGTAGCGTTATAAAGTTTACAAACATTTGCACATAGTTTTAAGGAAAATTAGTTTATAAATTTATTCAGAGCCATGGCGTCTATTTATTTTATAACATGGCTGTAAAATTATTTTATCAAACACACGAATTTTTCAAGTGACTAAAGCCTGCATGAATTGCCTCACTACTGTTAAACGTTGAGGCAATTCGCGCAGCACTTAGTAACTTCGTAAGCTTTCTAAAATAATTTTCCAAACTTTTACAAAATAAATAGACGTCTGAGTAAATTTACATATGAACTAATTTTCCTTAGAAATACCTTTAAAAGTATGTTAAGTTTGTAATGCTACGCATTTTAGGCCGTTTACGTAATTACGAAGGGCTGAGTGAATAGCCTCATTAATTATATACATATTTCGCTTTTAATTAATTTATAAACTTACTTAGATAACAACAATAAAAGAGAATTGTGTCACACTATGGAAAGCTGTAATTACTCTAGACCGGCTACAAACCCTCATGGATACTATTTCAATACGTTTGGTATGTGAGAAATGTTTCAAAATAATACATAATCTTTGGTCACCATTTATACAATTTTGTACTCACCAACGTTCTTCTACACGATTGCTTTCCCACTCAGCTGTAACAAAATTAGGTTGCTCGAAAATTGGGGACTATATCATAACTTTTCGCGCATACATTTCCGAGCAGCCATTCGTCCGGGCCACACAGTCGAGGGTGGCGACGGTAATGTCCAGAAATACCCCATCAGGGCGGGCTACTCCGAATCGATTGATTGATCCACCATATGAAATAGAGTGGGAACAGGAGGTAGATTTCCACGGAAGGAAAATATTGAAAGATGGAGAGAAAAAGATACGACTGCCATATTACGAAATTAAGTATTCTGTCGTGGCTGGACTTCCAGATAAGTTTAAGATTGAAGCATTTGGTAAGCGTTCAGATAACTTTTTGACAGTCTACTGTAGTATTAACATGCGTAATAATTGGCTACCTATATTTTGTGTGTAGATAATGAAGATCACCATCGTATTGGGATAGGGTTTAAAATGAATGTATCGTTTAAAGATTCAAATGGAAATGCAGCATCGGCAAAGAATTTAGAATCAGAACTAACAACTTTGACCCAGCAACTTAAAATTTCTTTGGTTCCTATCAAGTAGTTGGCTATAATTGTATTATAACTTACGGGGTAAATTAACTAATGAATTTCACTATTTTATGCAGAAAATCCCAAAACTTTAACCTTACCATCACGTATGGGGCTCTAAGCATTGAAGGAGATCAATTAGTAATCAACAACGTTATTGCCAGTGGCTTCTTAAATGCGGCTGATTTTAAGGTGAGATAAATATTGACTCTCCTCAGATACACGAAAAAATCGTCGCTTCGAATTTCACTTTATTTTTCGCTTATCGATAGCATGGCAAAAATTATGAAAATTGTGAAATTTTGTTCCCACTTCAGCTAAGTGACCTTAATTCCACTTTTGATTTGAGTTTCTGGTCGCTTACCCCAGAGCTCGCTTATCAGGAAGTAAGCGAAATACTAAGCGAAATTCGAAGCAACGATTTTTTCGTGTGTCTGATGAGGCCCAATATGTGCGACAATCAAAGTTTTCAATCTTGTCTCTATTTTATCTTAGGAAGGTAGGATTGACGTTGAAATGACGTTGAATAACCGCACCAAAACTTCTAGTTCTTCCAAAATTCGTTTCTACTCTGGTTTTCCGGTAAGGATTGAGTGTTTGGAAAAACATGTTGAAATTGAAAATGGGTGCAGACCTGGCTTATCTTGTCGCGTCCTCGACTGTGGGGGTAACGTCGTCGTAGCAAATGAGGAGGACAAGAAGCCAATCACGCTTAGGTGTAGAATCATTAAAAAAACCAACCATCAATTTGCCTGTGAGAGAACGATACTAGCAACAAATTCTGTGTGCAAAACGAATGAAGTAATTGATGTTGATGAATTTAAAAAATTTGGAATAACTCAAGTTGATCTACTTTGCGAAATATCGTGCGAGTTATACAGCAATATTAAGCCCGTCTTAGTGCCAATCACAATAAAGCGCAGCACAAGAGCAGAAAAACTTCTGGTTTACCGAAGATCAATTGAAGATGAACAAAATACTGTAGAAATTTGTGATAAATCTGTCCAATTTATCCAAATTTTGAAGGAATTGTACTTAAGCTACAAACTATTTGATGGAATGGGAAATCCCGTAGTGTTTGATGAAAGCAAGTACAAAGTGAATGTAAGTTGGTCGAAGAATGCATGTCTTGAGAATGGAATCCTTCCTACGCACAAAGTTCCTAAACGGGCCGAGGAGAAGACAGAATTTAGGACAACGTTACAAATCCTAGGATTCGAGGAAGAACTAAAGCACATTTTCTACCTGACATCCCTCCCCTTGGAACCGGACACTATGAGTGTATCATTTGTGGGGGGAAACAACTCCCGTGACTTAGTTCAACTCCCAATGGGTGAAAAGCTGCCAGCTGCAGTTGTCAAAATTATGGACCGTTGGAGCAATATTATTCTCTATGGGTTAAGGGATGAAGAATTATCTATTGAAGTGGACTGTTCCCGTGAGGAAGAGTTTCAAGTGGCATTTGATCCAGTTCGTGAAGACATCGATAACGGGGGATCGTTTCTAGTTAAAGATTTAGACATTTCCATACCTAGTGGGAGAAATCTTCCCATAGGTGAAATGGTTTTGAAGGTTACTTTTAGAGATTTGTCGTCCGATTTAAAATTATCCGTGACTACTGGATACCCCAAGAAACTGGGCTTTGTGATTAATGACCAAAAACAAAAACAACGGGGAACCTTTACTTGTCAGAATGGATCAGAAGTTCGAATTTTCGCCAGATTACTGGATGCATTTAATAATTTTACCATATCAAGAACACCAATCGAAGTTAAATTTTTACAGACACAGGACGGAGTCACTGTGATTGAGAAAAAAATTATGATGTCAGCTGATGGCGTTGTTGATTTTGGAGTAATTTGTCCAGATGTGAAAACAAACCCGAATCGTTACTCATCTTGCGTGGTAAAGGTTAATGACTGCAGGGGAAGATGTTTTGGAAAACCGATTACCGTTACGGTCATGGGTAACGTGGATGGGCATGAAAGATCAGATGTTTGCCACTTTCACGTAACATGTCGATCGGATTTTCCATATCAGTTAATCCCACACAAAGTGGAAGGACTGGGACCCTTCAGGTACGAGGCGGGGTCAAGTTTTACAAATCTAACGGTTACTTTGTTGTCAGAGGACGGCACCAAATATACGTCAGCAGAGAAGGAGAAAGTTTCTCTGCATCTTAAGCCGACAAACGGAATATCAGGCGTACATTTGGAACCCATCCTTGCCAGTGGAGTGCACGAAGGTATTTACACATTTGACCAAGTACCCCCAGAGGCAGGAAATTATGAGGCAAAATTTTGCTATCAAAATGGAACAGTGGAGATTTCAGAAATATTGAAAGAACCCTTGGAAATTTACGCTGGATCAGTTCATGCCCTCAAACCGGAAACAGACCTTCGCGACTTGTCTGTGTCAAACAATTCTGAAAATGATGAAGACCGAATTATTGTGGAAAATTTAAAACTGATCATTGTCGATCGGTTCGGGAATGTTTGCACTGAAGGCGAAAATTCAGACGACGGGAACAGCAATTTAAGTCGGGGAGATGTCACAATAGATTTTCCTGGGGAAATGAAACTACAAAATTTGGAAAATTGTACTACTCTGAGCTCAAAAATTGCACTTATCAATGGGTATGTGTCCATCCCTAAATTAGCAGTCGTGGCAGGTTTACCTTTACCAAACAACTCAAAGCACACGATACGGTTTATCCTGAAAATGGAAAGTAGCTCAGAATTTGTGTTTCCTTTGGAATTTACGTTTTTTAATAATTCCGAACAAATGGCCGCGAATCGGAAATTAAGAGAGGAAATTGCAACATTGGAGGGGGAAATTGCAAACAAGAAACAAAGTTTTCAATCGTCTGAAAATTCTATGATGCTTATCCAGGCTAAAATTGAAGGACTGAGAGAGAGGGAACGACAAGAGAAAGAAATCTTAAAGAATATTTCTTCACAAGAATTTGTTGAAACATTAAAAATGTCAAAAGATGTAACTGATCGGGAAGCATGTCTAAAGACAACTGAGAAGGAATTGGAAGGCGAGAGAAATATGACGAAATCTAACATTCCCCCAGGACCTGGTGCCGGTGAACCAAATGTTTTTGGACCAATTGGTTTGTTAGCGGAGATAAAGCGAGGTAATTTCTCGGAAATTTATTCCCTAATACTAACCAGACTCGGGTAACTTTTCTAGGGAAGATATACTCAAATCAATTGTAGTAACTTGAATTTGGTGGCTTTAACTTGTGTTGTACAACTCAATAAAGCCAACCAAATTTCCTGCCAGTCCTCCCAATAAAGTCCTTCCCTCTCCATAAATTCGTAATATTTAAATCCAAATAGTGTCGGAAGGAATATCTAACCGCTTAAAATTTGATTCACGAACTATTAACACTTTTCGACACATGAATATTGTATGAAAAAATTAGGACCAAACTTTAATGTTTAAAGAATTTCAAAGACTAAAAATGAATTTTGAAAGTCCCCAAAATTCTGTGGAAAATAAATTCATGAAAAATTGGAAATTTATGTAGCTTCAAAGATTCCCAGGTAGCGGTACAACCATACTTGAACTGCTTTAATAATCATGAAAATGCTAAACTCCTTACAGGTGGAGATATTTCCATAGATTTGAATCTTCGACGCATCCTCTCTTGGCACTTGCAAAATAAATTGTCCGTTATCGTAACTGCGACCTCAAAGACAGGTCGGGATCTCGAAAAACTTTTTCCAAAGGAACAATTCATGTTACTTGACATTATCAAGGACTATCCCCCAAACACAGTCGCCCTCTCTGGGCCTGGAAACCCGGTCTATGCCCGAACTTTGCTCAACTTCACGAAGCCTGAGGCCACAGCAGCAACGAGAAAAGTGCTTAACAAAATTCTAGGCGATACAATAATCATGGACGATCTGCCAACGGCTATAGACTTCATGAAGAAATACAATCAGGGAAGATATAATTGTCCAACTATCCTAACCATGGATGGGAGACGTCTCACGAGCGACGGAATAATCGGAGGAAGCGCTACCCACGTTCCAAAAAGTGTACGATTTTCGTTCGGATTGGCATCTGGTGTTGAGCTAGCGCAGATTCAGGAGCAGTTAAAAATCCTCCCCACCTTGAAGAAGATCATGGAGGAGGCTGAACAAGTCGAAAGAACGGATGGCCCAAGATTAAAATCGCTAAGGGCTTCATGTATCAAGAGTAAGGAGAATATTGGGAAGTTGGAGGAACGGCGGATGAAGGTTGTTGAAAGGTTAGAAGGTTCTATGCCACGGGGAAAAAACCAACCTCGCCGGACAAGATTGACGAGAGGGGAGGATCATGAAATAACGAACAAAAAGGCTAGAAGAACTTAGCCATTTAAGCCGTTACTTGACAAACCTGTGTAGGGTTTGTATTAAATATTTATGTACAGTTTTAGGGTACTTATTTCTGGCAATAAACATTTACGTCTTCTTAATTGAAAAGCTTTCCAATAAACATGACCCATGTCTTGGAACATTTGCATCGGAGGCATTACACGGAATTGCTTTTTAACTACATGATTATAATACGTAATGTATGCTTCCTCATCGTGTTTGTGCACTCTTAGCAAAATGGTATTGAATTTAATTGAATCATCACCAAACGGAGTGCATATATGACTTAACCGGAGCGGTGATAACGGGCAACACCGCATAGTGAAAAATTTACACCGTTGTGGTGATGAAAACTCACCACTTGGAATCAAACTATTACCAAATCGGGGAGAAATTAACACCAAATCAATACCATCCCGGAGTGTATACATGACTTCACCACTTTGCTAAGAGTGTGTCATTTTCAATTGAAACTCTCGGATGTAAAACAGCCTTCGCGACAATTTTTGTTAAAAATTCAACCTAGTTACATTTAAACACCGTTTTTGTAAAATAAATTCATTAGATTTTTCCCCATGTGACGGTGTAAAAATTAACTTATTTTTATATTTTACATTCAAAAAAAGGTATCCAAACCATAAAAATGATCAGCCGTACTAGATTTTTGCAAAAGTTATGCAGTATAATTCCAAAACGGTAATTTTAAATTATTTTTCAAAAACGGTATTTAAATGTAGCTAGGTTGAATTTTTAATAAAAATTGTCGCGAAGGCTGTTTTACATCCGAGAGTTTCAATTTAGCTAATAATTCTGTGGCAGACATGGCAAAACGATCCTTAATTCCTGACGTGTTTTAAGTACGGATTTTACATTTTTAACTGTTACTTAAAAAAACTAGAATCGATTTTTTAGCAAAAAATAGTTCCCTAGTTTCTACTAGATTGTCCAAATATTCCAGTATTAAATTTGGAATAAGAGCAGCTCTAACATTTAAATCCGCGGCATCTTCATGATACATATAACGGTAAAATCTTTTTGAATTCGTGCTTAAAGTGGAAAAGGAACGAGTTGCAGACGCTTACGTCATATCGAAAAAAATTAAGTAGCACCTTAACAATCAAAGGTAATCCTCTCCGGGATGATAAAAGACGCGCCTCTGCCCACCAAGACATTATTGGCTTGTCCTCGGTGTCCGTATTTATCAGCCAATTACACGTGGCAATTCCTACTTGGAACGTTTGGGTTTCCAGAATTCTACATAGTTTCCCATAGTTGGCTAAAAACTTAACGGCGGATTCATTTTTGATCAAAGTTGTTTTCGCAATTTCTTCCATAAGCAGTACCAATATTTGAATTATGAAGAAAAATTTGTTTGGCATAAGCTTAACTTGCGAATACTTGTTTAGCAGGGCTTCTCCTAATTTTGCTAATAATTTGCGTTGCATATCCGTACTTGGATACCGGTGGGGGTCAAATACAGAAAGGAACGCGATAATTACAAAATCCAGTCCGAAACCGGTCGCTCCACTATTAAGATTTTGGAGTATCCAGGACAGAATTTTGTCAAGGGGCGCCAACTTTGGGTACATGAAAAACAAGGCTAGAAGAGTGCAAGCTTCATTGCAAAGCTTTACTTTTAAGGTTTTCACTCCCCTAAGGGAGTAAGATAAGGTAATAAAATTCTCAAAACAACCCTGCTTCGGCTTAAGGTAACTACCATCTTCCTTCAACTTCTTAAGAAGGCTGTGGCACCGAAGGATCCGAAGGGCCAAGTCGTCTTGTCCAAACGCTTCTTTTACTTCGTCCAAAAAAATATATTCCGACAGCTCCAGTTTATTTAAAATTTCTTTCGAGTAAGGGGAAAGCGGGAGATGGCGACATCGTTTGACAATGGCGACAGTGGCTTCTCTAAAGTCTTGTGTTTGTCTCCACTCTTTCGTCTTGGCTGTTAGACACCACTCCCACACGGCACAAAGTACGGCTGGTGGTCCATTTGAATCTTCCAAGCCCTCCATGGTTCTAATGGAGAACATCCTATTTAAGAAGTTTTCTCCGTGGACACCTTCCAGCTGTTCCATAACCAGCTGTCGCACTAGTGGATGGATTTTTAACACAGGCACGCTCCTCCGGTACATATCGACGCAACTCGATTTTATAAGGCGGTATTGCATTAAGGTGTGAAGCGAATCGGAGAAATCGTCGCATCAAAATCCTTCCGGTGGCCGAAGTACCCTTGACCGACTTCGCCCAGAGTGGCGCATAGGTGCGGGGATGTTGATGTTCGGTTCGATTCGGTTCGAAGAGATTCCGGCTCGGCTTGAAATGCTTTCAATGTAAACTTTTCCCATTCTTCGAGCAAACTATTTTGTTTTCCCTTTGAGTAAAGGAGATCTTCCTTCTGTTTCGGTAACATGTAAACAGACGAATTCAAGGATAAGAGGTTTTGTGCGGCTTGCGTTTCTTTAAATACGTCGCAAAATGCCCTGATTAGACCAGGGTGGTGGTAAAGGTGGGGCGAAATCTCACTCAGTTTTGTAACTTCATCGTAATCTTTATCCTGAATATTGACATACGGGTCTAAGCAACTTTGCAACAACTCGATGGCAGCTTCAGGACTTAGTGAATCCAGATTAATTTGAACGGATGGCTCGTTCATGTCCGGCACTTATTCATCGAAGGATTCATACCCATAACGAGAAATAATAATTAAGGTGGTAAATTCAAAGGTGGACAGTGTTGAGGTTCATGTAACTCATTTTAATAAGTTTGTACGTGACTAGATTTTTTCTGCCCTTCTGTTTAATTTCATCATTCTTAGTATCGACTTATCTATTTCTGACTAAATATTATTTTTATCTTTTCCTGTGCAACCTAACCTTTTTGTATGCATTAATTAAGGCAGCGAGTCAATGTCAAGTATGTACATGCCTTAAGGGTCATTATTCAATTCTATTTTTGTGATATCTCCATAATTTGTGGGAGTTTCTTCTATTCTCTACATTTTGGTACATTTGTCAATTTTGTACAATAATCATGGAGTGTAACTCAAGTACTCACTCAAGCCAGACATTAAATTGTGGTACAGCAAAATATTTCGAAGTCTCACTCTGCCTCATTGTCACACATACTTACGCCCACAATTATCCATCATTTTTCAAGTCATAAATTAGCACAAGTCTACACCATCACGACTTAAAAACTAAGCTCACACAAAGCCTTTAAAAATTGGAAACAACATCCCCAACAGACAGTAAGGAGGAAATCGAGACGAATATATTTTCTTCGTCAATGTCCTCAAGCACTATCATGAGAGGGAGTGAGGGCTCGATATTCTTGACCTAAACACAAATTTAGAAAGTGTTCAATTTTCATGGAAATTAAACAAATCAATATTTAAGAACTACTAGCTACTTTAGTTAAGTATTTAAAAAAATTATTAAACGTACATTTTTTAACTTTTCTCCGAATTTGTCTAAATAATTCTCAATTCCGTTTTCCATCTCATCCTTTAAATATTCCTTAATAGCTTCCACCACATCTCCAACTAACCAAATGGCGTGAACCAGATTTCTACTTGAGAAGGTAGACACAAGCTCGGTTTTTCATGAACCGATAATTCCATCGATCCAAACTGACTGGAAATTTTGCAGAATTAAACAGTCTTCCAGTTTCTTTACTTCGGCATCCCGACCAAAAAATTTCCAGCGAGGGAACGGAACGTTGTATCGAACCATTGCCTCAAATTTTTTTTCGGTCTCCAATTCTTGTAGAAACATTTCTAAAATGTAAATAAATCATATTAATTATTAAATAAAATAATGGAGCAATTCATCATGACATTACCAACAAAATTGTGGGGTTTCTACAACCTTGGCTTTTTTGGATTCGTAAAAAAATATTCGTAAATTTATGTGTCATTTTGATATAAGACATTGATATTAAAAACCATTCATACTTATTTTAAATTTACGTTATTTACGAAATTTATCAGTTTTAGATACTACGATTAAATGATAACTCATAAAATTGTCGACTTTGCAAACTCTTTTGTGTATCCAAATTTAGTTGGTTATCTCCAAAAGTGAAAATAATTTCTTCTCAAAAAGATATCTATCAAGGCAACTTTGAATATGCCCAATTTTAAGTAAAATCTCACCTCTATCAAGAAACCGATCCAGGGCTTGGCTAGAGCTATATCTCTTTTCCTGGTAGTACTCGGCCATTTTTTGGCAAAGTTTTAATTCCAAGGGATACTGGTCGGCATACAATTTTGAGAATACCATCCCGTTCTTTGGTTGTTGCAAAAGGTCAAGGACCTATACAAAAGTTAGAACTGTTTTCTAGAGTTACAGTCTGTAACAAATTTAATGCTACGATGACAATTTTTATATCGCCACGATCTCATTGTTTTAAAATTTCAAATCCTGTCCAAAATTCTAAAAACTATATACGGACAATTTCCTCGTCGCCGATTTTTAAAATGGCAGACAGGTCAAAGGTCACGATTATTTTTTGAACAAATTTGAGGCTTCGAAAAAATAACTTCATGGATAAAATTTGTTATCGCATGCGACATGCATCATAAGAAAACAGAGTTTTGGTTGTACCGTGAACGATTTTCTGAGGCCTCATAAATTTTTTGTCAAGGCCAGAGGTTTGAGGTCTACAATCGGCACCGGGGCGAAAATTCGAAAAATGAAATATGTATACGTTTGTGTATTAAGACAGTATGCAAAAACGTATATTTCAGTCGTCGTGTAGCACTAAATATGTTATGTACATACTGTATAAATATATTAGAATGACTTGTTTCCTCACACCTCTGCCTTAATGTTTGTCATTCCATCGATACTTCCTCCGGGAAGAATTAGCTCAATAAAGACAACGGCAGCAGAGAAAACATCCGTTTTCTCATTGTAGTTCCCCTGCCCCAGGACCATTTCCGGACTGCGGTACCGTTTCGCCCCCACGCTGACTGTAGTGCACTTATCCGCACCTTCTTTTAGTTCGCGGCCTAAACCAAAATCTCCCAAGACTAGGTCAAGATTTTCCAAGACTCCCGCCATCTTCTTAAGAAAGATATTGGCAGGTTTTATTTATATCCCGGTGGACTATTTTTTGACCGTGAATGAACGTCAAAGCTTCCAAAAGTTGGTGGATAAAAATCCTAACCTGCCCAATATGGCGGGAATGTGGAGAATTATTCTTATCCATCCAGCTAGTTAACAAAAAATTATAAAAACACAACATAGGTATGTAAATATACAAATAAGTAAAGGCACATCCATAAATTTATATTATATCAGTGATATAATATCACACAAGGTTGAAAACATTTTTGGGGCACACTGAGACATTTTTGGGGCACGTTGAAAAAAATTCTGGGGCACACTGAGACATTTTTGGGGCACGTTGAAAAAATTTTGGGGCACCCTGAGACACTTTTGGGGTAAGTTGAAAAAATTTTGGGACACTCTGAGACACTTTTGGGGCAAGTTGAAAAAATTTTGCGGCACCCTGAGACACTTTTGGGGCAAGTTGAAAAAATTTTTTGGGTGGGAAAAAAGCTCAATGTTGGGGAATTTCGTGCGCACGGTTTGGTGCACTCCAACCCAAAGTCTCAACCAAGCCCGTATTCTTGTCATCTGTTACGCCACTTTTTAACATATCTAGGTAGATCACCTAAACCTCTAGATGCGCAAAACTTAAGTTTCTACAGAAGTACCCTCAACCAAGGCTCAACCAAGAAGTAATCTACGGACATTTATGGACATACATATATGCTAGCATATATGTACATAAGCCCGTCACCCACCGGGCTAGCTGTTATATGTAGTTTCATAGATTAAGAAAGAGTTATAGAGAATAAGTAATATTACATAAATGCTAGGTTATTGGTATATGTAGTTACATAGGATTTTGTATGCATACAAAATCCTATATAATATTAGGTTAGGATAGGTTAGTTCAACTGGACAAAGACAGTAAATCTGTCCAACTCTTACTTTCAGTTCCAGGAAACGCGTAAAAACCTTTTAGTGAAACAGTGTTATTTTAGAAACAACTCTTCTTTAAGTTACGTATATATATTAGTGCGTATAGCATTGTTATCTTTGACCAATGCAACTTATATAAAATGTATGTACATACACATTTTTACGTAGAGATGCATTTCCTTTTCTTTAGTTTTACGACTTTTCTGACTTGTTACATGTTAAAAATCGGGTATAAAAAGACGTACAAAACTGGAAAAAAGTCGAGTTGTTGGAGAGCTTTGACATCCATAAACTCCACTCTAGTTGGTGCGCTTATCCGCCAAGCTCTCTGCTAAATCGGAGGTTCTCTTATACTCCGAACTCGGATGGTTCTTGTAATCCGAAAAATCTTTTTAACCCCCAGACAAAATAAACTAACTCTCTTGAATAGTTAAGTACAGTGAATAGCCATATTTTGTGTTTGTTATAGAATTTAATCGTTTTTTCTGATATAAATAAATTCAGTTATTTGTGCAAATTTTTCCTTCTAATCCTTCTGGATAATTTTTTTTTTATCATACGTTATAATACTAGCGAGAATTTTAAACTGCAAATGCCTGCCCGCAACTGAGGTGAAAATAAATATTCCATAATGGAAGCACAGAAAGTCAAATTTGGAATGCATTCAAATAAATTCAATTCAAAAAATTAAATGTCTAATAGTAGTTGTCTTGGGTGGCGGTCTTGTTTGCCTGATAGTAGTTATCTGACAGCGCCAGACATTTAATTGCTTTAACTTAATTCACTTTAAATTTTGGCGCCATACGAAACTTGACTTCCTTGACTTCCATTTCCGTTGCGGAACATTTACATACTTTCGCTTCCGTTGCCAACAGACATTTCCAGCTTATATAATATAAGCTAGCGTATCAGCCCGTCTTCCGCCGGGCGGGCGAGTAATATAAGCTGTCAATCTCTATCAGCAACAAAATTGAACCAAAGAAAGTCAAGTTTGAAATAGTACCAGATAACCACTATCAGACCACCACTCCCAGATAACCACCATCTGAATTTTGAATTTATTTTAAATTTTTGCGCCATTCGAAACAACTTTCTCCATTTTCACTCCCGCCATGGAAAATTATTTTCACTTCCGTTGCCGACAGACATTTCCAGCTTATAATATAGAGATAAGAATAAGAATAGTTACTTACTCCATTAAATCACCTCCATTACAGAATTCCGTTTTGATAAAAAGCCAATTCTTTCTGGGTCCAGATGATGAATAGTCCTCGGTCGAGTTGAGCTTATCGAAATCCTCCGCATCCGGCCCTTCCAGCCAGTGCGAGTAGTATTTCAAAACAAAGTTACACCCACCCCCACCAGACAGCTTTTCCAGGATGGTGATTTCCCGCAGGATTTTTTTCATTGGGTTTGCCTCGTGTTGGAATAACTTTTTGTAGTCTTCCACACAAACTTGTTTCACCGCGATGGATTCCGCATGGGGTAAAATCACTTTAAACGTGGTGCCGAAAGAACCACTGCCTAAGTACTGGTAAGAAATTAGTTCATCTCTTAAAGAGATAAAGGAGGGTTCAAATTGCGCCGAAATTTCTGCATTCGCCATTATCGGATTCGAAAAACGGAAAATTTGGTTTTACGAAATTATAATGATTGTACGGCGCAATTATCTGTACAATTTGTGCAGAGGAATATTTGTCACCAGCTGACAAGTCGGCCAATATGCAAAGCCTTTTAACCAGGGAAGGATATAAATGTATTTAATACGAATGGTATGAGTTGTGCTGATAAGAAAATGTATATACTTTGAATATGTAAACCGGCGTGAGTATTTACATAATACGAGGACAAATATGTGCATACGTATATATGTATTGCATTGGAGTCATACATTGTTAGAAATCCGGTATAGCCACGCAGGTATTGATTTCTCAGTATTAAAGTTGCTACCGGTAGATATTAAAATGATACCGCTCGGTAAAAATTTGATCCCAATACTTTAAAACTTTATTTACGGGTTATTACTACACGGTATGATTTATCAATACCACGTTGGGAGAGTCATACATATATAAGTACCGACTGGTTTCATTTTAATACCTTATTTCTAAGAGTATATATGTATACATTCGTGGTTCGAAACAAGCATCACACGTGCAGTAAGCTTTTCAGTCTTAATCACATTTATCGCAATAAAAATCAGTATTATTATTAATTATTCCTGAGAATTAATTAAAATTAAAACAAATTCATGAACCAATCCATAATTAAGAATTATACGCTAGACCGCCCCTCCTGGCATGTTTCGATAACCAAATGATAAAAATTTCATTTCACTCTTCAAAATATGTCGAAATTTAGCGAATATGAAGACACTAGCCTATAAGCCCGTCTTACAGACGGGCCACATTTCACATTTTACAAGAACATATCGAAATTCCTTGGCACCAAAAACTTATGTAAGCAATTTAATACATTAGGAGTTTTTTAACGTTGCTAAGGATTATTTTTAACGTTGCAAAGAAAATTTTTTATGTTGCTAGGGAAATTTTTATAGGCTGCTAGGGAAACTTATGTTGCTGAGGGAATTTTTTTAAGTTGCAAAGGATTTGTTTTATGTTGCTAGGCAAATTTGTTTATGCTGCTAAGCACATTTTTTAAGTTGGTAAGGAAATTTTTTTATATTGCTAGGGAATTTTTTTACGTTGATATGGAAATTTTTTTATGTTGCTAAGGAATTTTGTATGTTGTTAAGGACATTTTTTACGTTGCTAGGGAATTTTTTTATGTTGCTAAGGAAATTTTTTATCATAGTCATGATCATAATGGCATAATCATAATCATAATTCGTATCAATTCTCTGATTGGTGGAGCTAGAAAGCCGTGTCAAAAGCCAATCAGAATGCAGGAATGTCATGGAAAATTTCACGGGACGGAGTTTTCGAAATTATGATATAGATGTGTACGCACTAAAAACTATGTATGGATTGATATTCGTCTTTTCTGTCCAACCTTATTTAAATTATCATATTTTCGCAACAAACATAGTAGCGAGCCGTAAAAAATATATAAACTCTTTCGCATTTATTTCCAAAAGGAAGGTCGAAAATAAAAATAAGAAATTCTAACTCATTTAGTTTAAGAGGTTTAATTTAAACTTAATTTTGTTTGACTAACATTTTAAGGATTACGTATATTATTTTCCTCCAAGCTGGATTTTAATAATAGATAAGTTTCCCAATCAATACTTGTTTGCGATTAATTGATTAAAAAAATAATAATGCGGAACCTTTATTGTATAATATGCCAACCTAATAATGCCAGATAATTGTATGTATAAGTACTTAGGGCTGCTGCGGGTAGCGGGTCGGGTACCCAGTGTCTGGCTACCCGACCGACTTATGCGGGAACCTAGCGGGTAGCGAAAGCTACGTATGTACTAAGGCGGGTAGTGGTATTTAAATTTTCTGTGGTTTTTGTGTTGTTATTAAGCAGTATAGTTATTTGTTTCTCCAATACATGAATACCAAATTTCCGCATTTAATCCGCGTAGAACAATCTAATTTCTAATTATGATAGCCATGAATTTAAATTAGCTTAGAATTGTTTTTCACTTTTGTACATTTTTAATTCAGAGGTCAACGCCGCCGATCTCACGCCGCCGCGCCGCCATACGCCGATAGAATTATACGCGCCGCCGTCGCACACTGGTCCGGAATCCTGTATTCGTTTGCCAGAACCTATAGCTCTCGAACCATTTCATTGTTTCGAATTCTGCCTTCGGGAATCGAAATACGAAGTTACAAGGGTCATAAGTAATCAACTTTCATTGACCACCAACCCCTCTTGGGGGTGTGGTTACAGGTCAATAATTATTTTCTCGGGTTACCCCATCAAGTGGGATGTCATTTGAAAGGTCTAATCAAGCTCTAAACAACTACGACTAATATGGGGTTATTATCGGCACACCCACTGCCAGGGGGTGTGGTCAAAATACAAATTTGAAAGTTTTTGTCTCGATAATTTTGAGGATGTATTTTCATCAAATGATTATATTCTATAGTTTTATGAAGTATTTATGCCCTCTGACTTAATTAACAAAGAAAATAGGACCAAAATTAAAAATTTCGTCTGGACTCCTCCGGGGTCACAACTTCATAAAATCCCCCCACTCGTAATAAATTTTTTAGAGGGGTTTGTCTTACCATGTTCCCTTCCCCAAGTAATAGGCAAGATATTTTGATGCGATTGTGTTATTCGGAACACTTAAAAATTTCATACATGGCCATAATTAAAGCACTCCAGATATTTTGCTTGTATGATTTGCCTCTGCATAAATTCAAATTTCTCGGTCAATTTGCAAAAGGGGCAAAAAGGGGCAGCAGTTTTTGTAGATGAGATATAAGGGTTTAATAACAGTTTAACGGTTTCTCGAAATACCACAGGACTAGACAGGATTTTCAACTTGAAGTTTCTCCCATTTAGTCCAATGTTATAAGGCAAGATTAGGCATACGCCACGCCGTAACCACTGGAACAATTCAAATGAAACTTTCCATAATTGAACATCTATGTCAAAGGTACTGAAGAGGGTATTTTGTTTTCGAATCGGTGAGAATAGGTTTTGGCCAAGAAATTCTATATTCCGGACCACCGTGCGCCGCCGATAAATCTATTTCCCTATCCCTTCAATATTGAAGCGCCGCGCCGCGCCGCCGCGCCGCGCCGAAAAATCCCCAAAATTGGCGCCGCCGCCGCCGCCAAATTGGTCGGCGTTGACCTCTGTTTTAATTTACGGAATTCATGGGGGTTGATCTCTACATTATTATTCTATCCAAAAAATTGTTTTTTTTTGTTGTTTGACAACGAAAATTTAAAATCCTGCTGAAGTTATATATAACTCAGGTTTATAATGAGAATTGGACACATACAAAATACGAAGGAACTGATCAGTAAAAATAATTAAACATCTAAAAAAAATTGAATATTTTAGAACAATAATAATTTCATAATTTTTAGAATTTTTAATAAATTTTTACGAAAATTATGACACTTACATATGAAAACATTGGACGAATATAAGACCAATAAATGCAGAAAAGTGGTCATCAAGCATAGCCAATCATCGTTAAAATCTTAAAATAAAATGAGATAAAAATTACGTAGTATTTGTTGTCCAAATTCACGCAGATTTTAATTCGAGTAACAACAATTTTTATGTTAAACCTGTTAGCTAACTAAAATTTGCAAACAAATCAACCCAATTCTGGATAGAATGCAACGAGGTTATTTTCTCACAACATTTGGAAAATTACTTAGATTAGGGTACTGTCTTAAGTGAGAAGACCAAGTATTTCAAAAAATCGAAATTTTCAGAAGATTTATTAACTGTTTGCTTCATTTCTGCAGTAGGTAACGGGTACCGGGTCGGGTAAGGGTAACGGGTAGGTACGGGGAGCATTTTTTT